TGGTGGCGGCGGCCAGCGCGGGGCTGTAGGGCAGCGGGAGCGGGGACGCCATGGGCAGCCGCTGCCCCCCGCGCCCTGCCGCGCCCCTGCGGCCGGTGCCTGTGCCGGTGCTGGTGCCGGTGCTGGCGGCGCTGGCGGCCGGGGCGGCGGAGGCGCGGGCCACCTCGGAAGGGCAGCTGCCCGGCGCCGCGGCGATGGGCACTGGCACCCCTCCGAGCCCCAGCGGCACCGCTTTCGAGGAGACGCGGCTCCACGTCTTCACCCTGGACTACCCCCACGTGCAAATCCCCTTCGAGATCACCCTCTGGATCCTGCTGGCCTCCCTCGCCAAGATCGGTGAGCGGGGTCGTGGGGCGACCCCCCCCCTCCATCCCTGCCCGTACCCGCCCGGGCCCCCTCCCCCCGGGGCCGCCGCGGACAGCGGGGCTGGCGCGGTCCGTGCCCGGCGGCGGGGGGCGCGGGCTCGGGGGCGGCCAGAGGGACACTGATGCTCCTCCGCGGAGTGGGATTCCCGGACGGGATTTGGCTGGCTGAAGCTGGGGTTCTCTCGGTTAGGAAAGGTGCAGAGGAGAAGAGATTACCTCCGGCCCTCTGCAGCGCCGGGTGAACCCCGGGCTATGAGGACCGTAAAACCCGGAGTTCACCCGGTGCGTGACTGACTTTTCCTTGATCGCCCTGCTGTCATTTGAGCACGGTCTTCTTTTTCTTAAAATAACGCAGGGTGTAATGACAGTCTCAGAACAGAACAACTGATCGATGGAAAGCAAATATTAATGAGGGGAGAGTAAGCCTCCTCCTTACTCTTCTTTCCCACCATTCATTTATGTCCTGAGAAAGACAAGAAAGACGGCACTGTATGAGTAAGAAAGGCCGCCTCTTCCCTCCTGTGGAAAACAATTGTATTGCATAGTTTCACTGAGTTTTATGCAGCTTATATATCATGTTTTTAATTAGCTTTCTATGTCCCAAACAGAGTAATGAGTACAGCATATTAATCTAAGGAATGTCAGATAATGGTGTGCTAGACAGCTATTGAAGGTCCAGTAAGTCTCTACAAATTATGAACTTTGTATCTTCTTACCTAGAAAATAATGTAAGAAGTAAAGGTGTGGGAACAAAATAAATGTTTACCCACCCTACAGTTGTTTGATTCAGAACTCTGATTTTGCAGCAGAGATTTCCATAAGAAACTATGATCATGCTGATTCTGTTAAACCCCTTTATCAATGTTAAAACTTTTAACTTCTGTTTGTGACATTTAAGAAGACTGTCAAATTCTGGTTAATAATCAGATAATTAGGATTCTGCAAAACCAAAAATTGGTACTCGCTCCCTGACACAGCTAGCATTGTAGTTGGGGGCCTGAGCCTCTCCCCAAACAACTTGCTATGGTATCGTTACTTCCTCAGAAATACGGTGTGTTGCATCAATTAAACGTGCATGTATTCTGATGCATGTATCTTAATGCATTAAAGATGCATGCTTAGTCTTGAGTATGCTTTTAGGTGATTGCAGAATCAGGACAGAGTTCAAATATGATCCACTCAAGTGTATGATGAACTGTAATAACCAGAGAATAGGGAGTTTGGTAAAAAACTATCTTAGCCAGTTGAGTACTGCAAAATTGTTATGACTTCTGGGTTTAGATACAGCAAGAACTCTTGAATAAGCTAAAACTAGTGAAAAAGTTTCTGTTACGTAAAGGATTACATGTGAAACATGTAAACACAATACAGACAGAATAATAGTCTGTAGTACATTTTGACTATCATGATATTTTGTTGGTGCATAGGCATCTAAAAAGTAAAAAAAAAAAAAAAAAATTTAAATTTACCTGACTACTTTAATTTTCCAGTCTAATTGCAGTAAATAAGCAAGTAAACAGCAGAGGTGAAGAAAAACGCATATAATTTTTAAATCCCTTCAGTTAACACCAAACAAAAGCAAGTGTGGCTAATCTAGGGCATGCTGTTGTCAGTGTGTGTGCGCAGAGCAATGAGGGCCAGATCCAGGAGTGGCCCTAGGTGTGGCAGTGCTCAGCTTCGCCACACCTATCTGCAGGCGCCCTGACTCTGGGACTGGAATTAGGAACATCCAGTTCTTGCTCCTGGAGCTTTGTCTGTGCTTCCTTATCCAGTGAGTGCATCAGGTAAACCTTCCCAGGTCAGGCTCCCATCGCTCTTAAGTTGCAGTCCACATCAAATTTTCACTGACTGGTACCTTCTCCTTTGTTGAAGGTAGAACATATGAGCAGTTCTTGAACCACCAAGACACAGAAATGTTGCTCTGCCATCCTACTGGGTTACTAGAATTGGGCCTTGTGTCTTGATTCAAAGAGATGGAGAGAGGTTTTCCACCTTGTCTCACTGCCTGTAGCCCTGTGAGAGAGGAGGCTCTCTGGAGCATTCCTCTCCCCTAATTTCCTGCTGAACAGCACAGGCATCTTGCCTCTGTCATGCCAGGCAGCATGAAATCCACCTTGAGACTCCTGCACTGCCCAGGAAACCTCGGTGCTTAATCTGGCATCGCAAATTCCTTTCTGGGGCTAGGCACTGAATGCTTATGCTTGGCACTGCCGAGTGGCAAACCTTTATGAACAGAGCTCTCAGGTCTTTTCAGCTGTGAGGAGCTAAGAAGATAGGGTCACTTGAAATAGCAGCTCTCTCAGTGTTTGAAGGATCCCAAAGAAAACTGCAGCACCTCGTTATGAGTCTTTTAGCAAATATGTTTCCACAGAAGCACAGTTTCACCAGAGCTGAAATGTTCCAGCATTTGCTAATTTTTGTAGGGGATTTACCTGAGAGGTTTCTCTGATCCTGGCTGTGATCATGACACTGTAGGCTTGGTTTAGAGGGAGCAAGAAAGACAGTGTAAGAAAGGAAAACCTGAAGTTGTCAAGCAGAACTCGAACATTTTTACAAGGTACATTTTCATAAAGACATTAGAAACATGGTGCTTTTTATTCCAGCATAGAACAAGGGCACATTTTGAAATCTAATAAATTACCTTGAATGGAATTATTTTCTGACTACCTCTACTTAATTTCTTGTGTGTTGATACCATAGAGGTGTGTTACTCACATGCTGATGAGTATATTAGGTGGGACCCATTGCACCTGTAGAATGCTAGAATCTCTAAGCAGTGAGACTAGTCTACTTACCCTTCAGTTTTGCTTAATTTTTGTGCTACTAAAACTACAAAATATTGTGTAACTGATTCAGATTCCCATTACGTTTAATCACAGATGCACAAATGAGAAGTGTTTCTTCTGGGAACTGAGCTGATATCCTTCCAACACTGCTCTCCTGAAAAAAGGTTTATGCTCTTCAGGGATACTCATCTCAGTGGCATTTCAAGCATCAGAATGTGCTGGAATTCACCCCAAAAATAGCAAACCTAAGGACTTCTGGCTTTAAACATACTTGTACTTCACGCTAGTGTCCTAGTGCCATTTTTACCATGATATGTGAAATATGTTTACTGCTGTTGAAGTTGGGTCAGTGCATAGTCTGGAGCCTAAGAACAGGGTCAGAGGAGAAGAAAGTAGTTGTAGTCCTGCATTCATCATAAATTCCTGTACTGCAGGGAATCTGCTCCCAGGATGCTCCTGACCCTGTGGCTGTGGATCTGTCAGAGAACGGAAGATGTCCCTCATCCTACAGGACACCTGCACATGACTTGATGTGCACTGGATTCTAAATCGTAGCTCTTTGCCCTCAAATCAGGAATGATAAGCATTTGCATGTAGGCAGGCAGTCTTTCAGGAGTTTTTATGCTGTTTACATGAATAAAAAGCATATTTAATTTAGTGGGAGCCTTTCCATTACCTTTAAGGATGGAGTCCCAAGTCTCTGGGAGAGTATGAGCTTTCCAGAGTGACTTGTAAAGAAGAAAATAAAAGATTTTTATTTTTGTATTTGCAGGAGATGTTTCATTGCCCTTGCATTACAATTGTCTAGGATTTTTTTTTCCTTAAAAGCTGCATTTACAAAAATTCCTTCCTCTTGAATTTGTATTAAGAAAATAATGTAAAATTTACTCCTGAAGAATTTAAAAAAACTTTTAGCAAAACCTACTCACTTGGGAAACTTTGTGATCGCTATATTGGAAAGGTTGGTGTTCTGCCAGTACAGAAACTAAGATAAATCATAAAATGTTTGTGTGGCTGAAAGCTGAAGAGTCAAGTCTCCAACCACAAATTCTTGTCTTTTCCAGGGTCATTACCTCTTCTGCCAATATAGGACATTGGTGATTCTGGTTTTGAAGAATGACAGTGAGTTTGGCAGACATTCTAATGAGTCACATCGGCTGTGTTTCTAATTATTTAAAGCAGTCTGTGTTCATCCAGAAAGGAAATAAGAGTGCAGCTTGAGCTGCTTGCCTTTAAAAATAGCTTTAATAGTTATAGAATATATAAGTAAAAATTCAGTAGATTAAAACAGCTACCCCTTGCTCCTTCTTAACCATTTGGTTTTCCTAAGT